CTAACTTCTGAGAGGAGCAGAGAGCCGCGGCAGCACACGAAGCATTAGGCCGCAGCTCTCCCAGTGCCCGGCTGAGCTGGCCCGGCCTCCCAGGCTGCCTACGGCCACACGACGCTTTACTCAAATTCTTCCTAAAACGTGACCGGGGAGGCCACACAAGCACCAGCTCTCTGCTGTGGCAGCCTTTTCCTCCGGCGCCCAATTAGGGACTCGCTGAGTGTTGTGGGTTGAACTGTGCCCCACCTCCCAAATTCATATGATGAAGTCCTAACCCCCAGCACCTCAGAGCACGACTGAATTTGGAGACAGGGTCCTGAAGGAGGTGATTAAGCTAAAATGGGGCATATAATATGACTGTGTCCTTCTAAGAGGAGGAAATTCCGGACACGCAGAGAGATACTGAGGGGTGCGCACGCACAGAGGGACAACCATGCGAACAGGCAGCAGGGAGGGGGCCGTCTGCAAGCCAAGGAGAGAGGCCTCAGAGGAAAACAACCTGTCAGCACCTTGATCTTGGACTTCTAGCCTCCAGAAGTGAAGAGAAAACAAATTTCCGCTGTTGAAGCCCCCAGGCTGTGGCATCCTGATGTGGCAGCCCCAGCACACTAACACACGGGCCATGCAAAGCCAGGAGACAGCACCATCACTAACAGGTGTTCTCCTGAAGAGAACACACTTATTAAGGACCAGAGATGGGGGTCACGGATGAGAATGCTGCTCCCGACAACGTCCAAACCCTTCTTGAGTGGAATAAGCCAGACGCAGAAGGACAAACATTATATGATTCCACTTACAGGAGATACTTAGGACAAGCAAACTTACAGGGACAGAAAGTAGAGTGGTGGTTGCCAGGGGTGGGGAGGGAGGAGAGTTACTGCTCACTGGGTACAGAGTTTCTGGTCGGAGTGATGAAAAAGCTCCAGAGCGGACGGTGGTGATGGCTGCCCAACACTGTGAATGTACTTATGCCACTGAATTGTACACGTTAAAATGGCACATTTTGTTACGTATAGTTTACCACAACAAAAAAAATAAACCTATCACATGTTACATAAATATTTTAATTAAAATTACATTTTTTCAAAGAAGAAAAAAAAACCCTACAGGAGCCACAGTAACTGTATTCCAGTCAGTCAAAACCCCCATGGGGTTCATAGTTAATTTACTCCACCACTGCCCTCTGAGCCTTGATCCGAAAAGCAGCTTCAGTCAAAACCCAGGCCTGTTACGTGGCAACCTGAGAACACCTGAAGACGCCCGACCATCCACTGGGAACATGGGGTCCTCCCAGAGCACAGGCATGAGCTGCCGCCCCGGCCTCTCCCAGGTGGGCTTAAGTGCATGGCTCACCTGGACTCCGGGTGCTGGTGAGGGCAGCAGTCACATACACAGGCCCTCTGGGCCACAGGACTCCTGGCCAAGGAGGGGCTGTGGCTGCTGAAGCCCGAAGCAACAAATAAGGCAAAAGGGAGGAATTGGGGAGGCACGTTCCCTGGACCCAGGCAAACCAACAGCACCCCCACCTTCTTCTTTGGTGAAAGGCTCTAGAATGCTTCATTCTGTTCCCCAAAAAAGAAAGTCATCCTTCCTGAGCTAGGGAACCCTTGTAAAATCTGATCTGGACTCCATTTCCACCCTGTTGATGACTTAAGTGGTCTCAGACTCCGCCTGGATCGGTCCACTCTGCCTCCGGTGATGCAGAGCAGCCTGTACTGGATCCAGAGGCGGCCACAGGCTCTGGTCTAAAGAGATGATGATGGAGCCAAAATGAGGCCGGCTGACCTTTTATGGCCCCACAGTTACTCACCCAAACTGGTCACCAGTCCATTCAATTACTCAAGGCAAAAACAAAGCAGGGATCATTCTGGTGACAACACATTGCCAGAATCTAAAGGGCAAAATTAAGCTGCTTAATAGAAATGTGAAAACACAGGGCAGCAACTCACACAAGAGCCCCCGAAGAAACACAAGAACTGGGGTCACATCTCACAAGCAACACTTGGAAAAGGGCCAAGACACAAACAGGGATCCCTGCCTTCAAAACGCACACAGTCTGTGCTACCATGTGGATGAAACTTGGGGACATGATGCTAAGTGAAATAAGCCAGACACAGAGAGAGAAATACTGTCTGATTCCGTTTATATGAGGTACCAAGAGTAGTCAAATTGCAGAAACAGAAAGTAGAATGGCGATTGCTGGGGCTGAGGTGGGGAACGGGCAGCTGGGCTTGGAATTTCAATTTTGCAAGACGAAGAGAGTTCTGGAGGTAGACGGTGGTGATGGTTGCACAACAATGTGAACGCACTTAATGCCACTGAACTGTACACTTAAAAATGGCGAAAATGGGTTATGATGGTAAATTTTTTGTTAGGCATATTTTACTACAATAAAAAAATTAAAAAGCACAGAGTCCAGAGTCACAGAGGGTGGACATGGGTGTCCCTGAGCCTTTGCTCTCACTGCTCCTGGAGCAGATGGCTCTCCCCACACTCTGCCACTAGACTCGTGTGATGGGCAAGGCCCCTCTTTAGTGCTGCTGCTTCCAGAAGCTTCCCTGACCTCACTCCCTGTGAATACATAAATGATGTGTGCATTCCTCTCTCCCATGACCTGTAAGCTCCCAGACGGCAAGGAGCACGCTCTCTCCTTCCATGGAACCCGCACGGTACAAACAGAAGGGCCTGCGCACAGCAGGGCTCACAGCTGCTACTGAGCCCACCGGCAGGCCCTGGGTGTGCGGGGCTGGAAGGATGCCCGGACTGACCCACGCTCTTCAGGTGGGAGGAACACCCTGAGGCCACCACATCCAGGTGGAATGGCTCTGCACTCCCACAGGCCTGGAGTTCCAGCTCTGCCACTTCTTGGTTGCGTCTTCACCTGCAGATGGGCAGCCCCACCACTGCAGGGTGTAAGAGCCCACGAGGGGCCCTGCAGGAAGCACGCTGTCACCACGCCTGGCTCATGGTAGAGGGAGGTCATTTCCCCTCCTTCCCTCAGACACCAGTGGCCCTGAACCCCTGAACGCAGAAGTATGAGAGCCGGCATCCACCCAAAGGGATTCTGAGGCTATGAGAGCCGGGCCCCTGGTTGTTGTTGTCTGCTGCTGCTGCTCTGGGGAATCAGGGTGACTTCCACTCCCTCCTCACACTGATTTTCCCCATTGTCCCTTTTCAGAGGCACAGGCCTCACGGCCATCTAAAAAACATCAGTAAACAGTCTGGACAGAGACAGATGGCTGAGCCCCTCCTTCCCGGCCAGCCACAGTCCTCAGAGAACAGAGCAGGGCGCGGAGTCTGAAGGCTCCCAGAGCTAAAACAACCAGGAGAGAGAACACGGGACCTTTAGGACATTCAGAGAAGGATCCAGAAAGTCCCAAGAGGGAGGGCCAAGTTGTGAAATTAATTCCTCAGCCATTTACTGAGCACCTTCCCTGTGTCACACACGGCACTGGGCTCTCCCGTCTACAGGAGCAGGAGCTATGAGAGGCAGGTGAGAGGAACTGATGGGAGCAGGGAGGGCCCACAGGGAGGCCACTGAAACACCTCCACCCGAATGCACCCCACTTTCCGGAACCTCAGAAGTGCCCCCCTGAAAGAGAACGCCGTTTCAGATTGCAGGCCTCCATCAAAACCTCTCATTTTCTTCTTTATTAACAACATTCTGCCAGACCACGGCGCTGAGGGCCAGCTCGAACTGGCTCGCTCGGCGGACAGCTGGCCAGACAAGGCTGGTGCCCACTGACCACAGGGCAATCCTCCAGAGCCCAGACGAGCTGACGTGCCTGCAAAGCAGCCTCCTAGATACTACAGGCTTCCACCCACAACGAGGGCCTTAGGGCATGCAGCTGGGCCAGGCCACAGGTCCCAGCAGCTCGCCACAGCCACCCCCAGCTGCAAAGGGAAGATCAGCAACTGGCTGTACCCAAAACAAACAGGACAGAGTGCTGATCACAAAAAGGCCACTGAGAGAGCCCAAAATAGCCTCACTTGTTTCAAGAGGATTCTGAAGAAGGAAGCACATCCAACTCCATCAGCAGAAAAAGAAAAATCAATGGAGCGGAAAACCAGATCAGCCCAACAGGGACCAGGACTGGAGAGACTCGGGGTAGCCTTACAACGCCACCCACCCCCTCAGCCTCTCCCTACCCCAATCGCGAACTATGCCCGGATCTCAAAACCTAGTCCCACCACCCCAACACCTAATGGCACTTGTACGCAGCCCGGAAGTTAAAGACACAATCCCACAGGTTTAATCTTAGAGCCAGGAGTCAAACCATGGATTGGGAGCCCGAAATAAGCACCAGTGGGCACTGCTCCTTGGCAAAACGAGGAGGCAGAAGCACAAAGAGGGATCAGAAAATGGAGTAGGGGTAAGATGCACCGAGGAGCCCGGGGGTGAGTAATGACGGTGATGTCTCCCATCAAAGCTGGGCAGATCAGAACGGGTGTGGCTCAGCTTGGGCCCTGGATAAAATCTTCACCCTGCTGATTTTCGGTGGCCCACTGAGTCAGAACGGCTTGTCACCTTACTTCCTTCTAATTCACATTCTCACCTGCTCTGACTTGTGTTTGGGGCTGTTGGCTGGCAAGTGAAGCTGACACTTCGATGGCCTGGGAGCAGCCAGCACATCTTGGGTTCCCCGAATGTGTCATGTCACTCTTCCACAACAGGAACCGTGGGGTGGTGGGAAATGTCCAAGACACACAACAAACCTTGCCAAAAGCAACTGATCTAGGCTGCAGAGATGACCCTCTCTTTATACTGTCCCCACCGCTTAGCTTGGAGGGGTCAGAGAGCGAGGAGATGACCGTCCGCCCAGGGCATCCTGGTCCAGACCCACAGAGAAGCACACCACTCTAGAACCACAGGAACAAGCCACCTACCATCCACACACCACCCTTGTTCCTCCCCCCTCCACATCCCCTTTTCTATCCCCTACTGCCCAAGGGTTTCCAGCCAGGGTACAGGTGTGGCCACCCACGGTGGTGGAGGTACCCACCTGTGTCTCCATGGAAGGTGCCATCCTGAGGCAGCCTGCCCGACAAGCTGTCCCCATCGCTGGGCCAGATCTGCCCAGTCTTGCGGACGCCCACGATGGTGGCTTCCGACACCACGACCTGGCCCTGCCGGTGGCGCTTCTGACACTGCGGCGTGGGGGGACTGCTGCTGTCCAGGGACTGCTGCGAGTTCTGCGAGGGCGAGCGGCTCTTGTCCCGGAACATGCGGTAGGTTGTGGGGCTCGGGGACACGCGGCTGGACTGGCCGGAGGAGAAGTCCTCCTCGCTGGAAGTGAGGTTCTCGTTGGAGCTGCAGTCCGGGGTGTAGCCGCCTCCGCTGTCTTCGAAGCTCCGAGGGGAGCAGGACCTGCGCGGCCAGGTGAGGCGCTTCTCCTGCTCCGATGTGCTCTGGCTGCGCAGGAGCGGACCCTTGCCCTCCCCTTCTACCATCATGCCCCCGACGTAGATACTCTGGTAGGGCTGGTACTCCAGGGGCGGCCAGGGGGGCCTGCTGCCGCCATTGGCGTTGATCAGGTTGTCCTTCAGGAAGCGGGGGTTCAGCTCGGCGTCTTCGTAATCACCGTCGAGGCCGCAGCTGCTGCTCTCCGAGGAGCGCCCCCGGTAAGAGGGTCTGGGCGCGTCCCCCAGGCCCGGCCCGACGCCGTGCTGGGACTTCTTGCGCTCCATCTGCATGGCCTGGCTGCCCAGGGAGCTGATCCGGTCCGACACCTCTTTGTCGTTGACCTTCACCAGGCCGCGCTCGTGGTGAAACTCGACGTTCACGTAGAAGGGCTTCTCGGGCTCCGCTGCCCCGGTCTGGCCGTGGCCCTTGCGGATCCTCTCGAAGTTGGACCTGAGCGCCGCCACGCTAGTGGGGGGGCCCCGGTCGTCCCGGTCCGCAGGCGCGGGGGCCCCGGGTCTGCGGGCGACGGCGGGCCTGGCCTTGCCCGGGGAGCCCTCTCCGTCGGGCCGGACCTCGGGCTCCTCGGCGGGCGGCGGGTCGGCACCGTCGGCGGGCGCGGGCAGCGGGCGCGGCGCGGGCGCGCGGGGCTCGGCGGCGCCGTCGGGGGGCTGCGCGGCGCGCCGGAAGCCCCAGCGCTGCCGGTCGTAGCTCTTCTTCTCCTTGGCCAGCAGCGTCTGCAGGTAGATCATGCGGAAGCGCTCCTGGTTCACCTCCTGCTCCAGGCGCCGGATGGAGGCCTTGCAGCGCTCCAGCTCCTGCTCGATGTCGCCCACCGAGCGCAGCTCCATGCGCGGCGGCTCCGAGTCCGGGAACTGCGCCTTCCACGCCTCGGCGAAGCCCACCGGGTCCACCATGGCGCGGCCGGCCTCACCTGCGCCGCCGGGCTGCGCGGGGCCCGCCTCAGCGGCGGCGCGGCGGCCTCACCAGGCCCGGCCCGGGGCTCCGGGCGGCCCCCATGGCCCGCGCGGCGGCGGCGGCGGCGGCGGGCGAACAATGCCCGCCCCCTCCCGGGCGGCAGGTGAGGCGGCGGGCTCGGCTCCCTGGCGGCGCGGGCGCGGGCGCGGGGCGGGGCGGGGCGCGCGAGGAGCGGGCGCGCGCGCGCGCGCGCGGGGACGGGCGCGGGGCTGCGCGCCCCGCTATTGTGTGCGGGGCTCCTCGGCGCTGCGCGGGCTGGGCCGGGGTGCGCTGCCCTCGCTCGGCCTGGCGCCGCTAGCCCATGGCCGCCGCCGCGCGCCTCTGCTCTCGCCCCCGCGCAGCCCCGCGTCCCGGCCGCCGCCGCCCGGGCGCCGCGCTCGGCTCGCCCGCTCTCCGCACTCCCGCGCGGCCCGCACTCGCGCCGCAGGAAGGGGAGGGCCGGGGGCGGTGGCCCGGCGCGGCTGACGGAGCCGCTCGGGCCTCTTAAAGGGGCCGCGCCGCGGGCGCGGGGCGGGGGCGCGGGGCGGGGGCGCGGGGAGGCCTCTCCTCCGCCCAGTCGCTGCCCTCCTTCGGGCCCCGCGCTTGGGGAAACTGAGACCCCGACGGCTGCAAACCCGGCAAGCCCGGCCGTCCGACCCACTCCGGAAACAGGAACACCTGGATCCTCATTTCCCCACGCCTCGGCGGCCACTCACCAGCGTCAGGGCTGAGCGCGCTAGGGGCCACCCAGCGGGCTGTACCCAGAGTGGAGCCGGAACAGGCAGGTCACTCAGCGAGCAGGCAGGGCCAGGCTGGGCCGCCAACGCCAACCACCCCAAGGGGCCTCCAACGCTGTGGACCCTGGGTTGGGTGATGAAGCTACAACTGCCACACGGGCTTGTCACAGAGATCATCAATAGGAATTTCTCCCCCAGGTCATTCAATACCTACGCCTCCCTTCCTGCTGTCCTGAGCCGTGTGTTTGTCCGCTGGCCTCTCCTGAGCAGTTTTTCAGGGGTTGCCTGACTCAGAACTTACCTGATTGGTCTCCCTCTAAGGGGGTGGCCAGCCTCAACCATGGCCAGCAGGGCCGGGTGGAAGACAGGACAGCCCAGGGCAGGCAGTGAAGTAAATCTTTGCCGGTAGCCCACGGAGGCCCAGAGATCTTAGACACACAGCAGAAAGCACTCGGTAGGGAGTCTGATGGGCGAAGAATGAAAATACCGAATTCAGCCTGCTAGGTGAGGGGAAAAGGAAACAGGATTCATCAACTAGAGAGCTGGGCTTCAGTCCTGGCTGCCTCTGCCTCTCTGTGCCTCGGTTTCCTGGGCGTTGAAATGAGAACAAGTATACCTTCCTCTGAGGGCTGTTGTCCCTGTGTGGATGTGAGGGATTATCTTGTCATTCCCCCAGTTCCAGAGCCACGCAGAGCCGATGCCCCAACATCTCATCTAGAGGAACGGAGCCCAGGGCTAGTGGCCAGGAGGCCTGGCTCCTGTTCAGGTCTCCTGGACTCAGGACTTTGTGACCTGGACAATTCCCTTCCCTTCTCTGGCCCCAGGGTTTTTTTTGTTTTGTTTTGTTTTGTTTGTTTGTTTTTTAAGATTTTATTTTTCTGTTTTCTCCCCAAAGCACCCCCGGTACATAGTTGTATATTTTGGTTGTGGGTCCTTTTAGTTGTGGTGTATGTGATGCCGCCTCAGCCTGGCCTGATGAGCAGTGCCATGTCGGTGCCCAGGATCCCAACCGGCAGAACCCTGGTCCGACCAAGCGGAGCTTGGGAACTTAACCACTCAGGCACCGGGCAGGCCCCTGAGCCCCAGTTTTGTCCTCATATGTAAAACGTTGTGAGCACCATGTGTAAGCACCCCACCGGGAAACATAAAACACACTCTGAGACATGCATGTGGTGTTCGTCCCATGATCGCTTGTTCACATCTGTGCCCTTGATGCCCTGGGACGGGCGCTTCCAGGCACTTCCAGGCGTGGCTCACTGCCGCCCTCTGCAGGCCTCTCCACGCTCGGGCTATCTCCTCAGGCTATCTCCCCGCTGAGCCCCCTTGGCCCCTCCAGCACAGCTCCTTTGCACGCAGATCTGCTGCAGGTAGGCAGGGCCTGTGTAAAGCCTGTATTGCATGCGAGGAAACAAAAGGAGTTGATGCTCTGCATTTGGGTCCAGACAAAGTGAGGCTGGAATCCCAGCAGTGCTCACATCCTCAGTGACCTCTTCTTTAAAATGGGTATAATAAATCCTGATCTCTCGGGACGTGGCACAGCGGCGTGCCAGCAATATTGGCTGCCTTCCTCGGATGACCTCAGGGAACTGTGGGCTCCTCAGGGGATTATCACTCACCACCTGTGAAGGAAAAGGATACTGTGGAGAGGTGGCTCAGCTATCAGTGAGGTGTCCTTTCCTCTGGTTTGCAGGCCCCACTCAGCCCCACGTTAGATATTGCACATAAGCACACTCACTTGAGAAGCTCTGAAGCTGTTTAGTTTGGGTTTGTAGGCTCTACTCTCTTGGCAGAGCAAATGGCTTGTTGGGCACAAGGACACAGCAAGATAGTGGTCTCTCCCCCGTGGGATAGCTTCTTCTGGCCCCGAGGACACTCCTCCCATTCTCATTCCCTTCCCGAAGGCGCTCCCATGCCGAGTCTCTGTCCCTTCCTGCAGAGCTGTCTTGTCATCCATCCCTCCGGAGGAAGGGAGGAGTGAAGAGGGAGCCAGGGGCCAGACGCATGACACTCTGCAGTGCCCCGTTCAGAGTCTGTCCCTAGCTCAACCTATACTCCCAAGGACAGAGATGTGTCTGTCTTGTTCCCCAGTGACGCCCCCCCGCCCCCACCCAGTGCTCAGCGGATAGTGGTGCTCAGCCAGTGCTGGCCGCAGGAGGAACCCGACATGTGTGTGGCCCGGAGGAGCGCACAGCCCAGGGAGAGAGGTGCACGTGTGTGTGTGTAAGGGGGTGGATAAGGCAGGCAGAGCCAGGCCACAGCAGAGGTGTGTGCGAGTGTGCGGGGATCCAGGAGGAGGCACAGGTTGGCAGAACGCTTGCCGAGGAGGTGACATCGAGCTGATCCTAAGGACGAGGAGCAGAAAGGCGAAGAGAGGGGGACTTCAAAGTTGTTGGTTAGGAGATGAGACTGGTGTGGGCGGCAGGAGGTGACATCCGAGGTGAGGAAGGGCCTTGCAGGCTTGTAAGAAGTTTAGGTTTTATTCTAAATGCAAGGAAAAGCCTCTGGAAGGTTCCAAGCCTGCACTGTCTGATAGAACTTTCCACCGTGATGGGCATGTTCTGTACTCGGCTGAACGTACGGCAGCCACTGGCCTCCCCACGCGACTCCTCAGCACCCAAAATGCGGCGGCTGCTCTGAAGACTGAATTTCTAATTCGATTTAAGTTTAAAGAATTTAAACTCAAATAGCCACAGTAGCTGTTGTAAGCAGTGGAGTGACTTGCTCAGATTTGTTGTGTGGACAATTGAGGGGCAGGGGCAGGGGTGGGAGCAGGGTGAGCAGTCAGGGGCTGTGGCATTGGTCCAGGTGGGGGGCTCTAGTGAGCCAGACTAGGGTGGAAGCACGGCGACAGAGAGAAGGGTCAGATTCCAGGTCTGCTCTGGACTTGTAGATGGACTGGATGCGGGGAGAAGAAAGACCAGCTACGGGGTGGACAGTGGGTTCTTGACCATGACGGAGAGGCCGGGGTGCCCACGTGAGGCCTCAGGTGCCCACAGCCCATCCACAGGGAGGAGTCAGGTGGAGAGAGGGTGAGACTGGGGTGCTGAGGGGGCACCAAGACCAAGACAGAAAGGGAAGTGTTGTTAGTGAAGAGGCTGTGTTTACGGCCACAGGGCTCGAGGCTCTCCGCCTGCCTGCAGGGGACCTCATGGGGAAGGGCAGGGGCTGGCCTAGGAGGGAAGAAGAGGCAGAGAGACTGAGAAGGCACTGGCCTGGCAGTGACAGGGATCTGGGAGTCCTGCGGGGTGCAGACTCCGTGAGGAGGGCAGGGCCCCTGTGCAACGGCACTGGGCCCTCGGGTGGAAGGACACTGGTCTGTTGCAGTGAGGCCAGCAGAGCCGCGGGGCGCCCTGAGCCTGGCTGCACATGCTGGAGGCTGCTGGGCCACCGGCGCCAGCCCCAGGGGACCTTCCCAGGGGTGCCGCAGGCGAAGGGACTTCACCGGGGGCTCCACAGCTGTCCTGAGCATCGAGGGACGTTTATTTTCTTCATATCATACTTTTCTGAATCCTTTATAATGAAAATGTCTATCGTTTGTAATTTAAAAAAAGATATTAGTTTTTGTTTTTATTTTTTACAGCTTTATTGAAGTATAATTGACCTGAAATAAACTGCATATATTTGAAGTGCATGTTTTGATGAGTTTTGGTATCTGTACACACCTGTGAAACCATCACACAATCAGATAACAAAGATTTCCATCACTCCCAATACATGTTGTCATTATTTTTTTCATCTGAAAACTAGAACAGGACAGGCAAGTGGGATTCTTGGTGATATCTCTCCTCAGTTTCCTTCATTTTCTGGGATGTAGTTTTATGGCTCTATAATTTATTGAAAAATCAAGCACACACACACTCATGCACCTTCAGGGGTCCGTGAGCCCAGACCACGTTTCGCCATAAAACCCTCCCTAGGGCTGCCCTCTCCCTTTGCTGGAAGGAGACGCTGGGACCCAACAGCCCTCTCTGCTGGGCAGAACACAGAACTTGTGATGCCTCAAAACCTGGGGATGGAAACAACCCAAATGTCCACCAGCAGATGAATGGATAGACAGGGTGTGGTACATCCATACAATGGAATATTATTCGGCCATAACAATGAATGCAGGGGCCAGCCCCAGGGCGTAGTGGTTACGTTTGGTGCACTCTGCTTTCAGTTGCCTGGGATCGTGGGTTCAGATCCTGGGCATGGACCTAGACCACTGTCAGCCATGCTGTGGTGGCATCCCACATATAAAGTGGATGAAGATTGGCACAGTTTTTAGCTCAGGGCTAATCTTCCTCAAGCCAAAAAAAAA